AGTTCAGTGCGACACTGGCTTGGGATAGTACAAACGCTCGCTTAGTCAAGTGCGACACTTGCTTGGGATAGTACAAACGCTTGCTGAGTTCAGTGCGACAACGGCTTATGATAGTTCATGAGCACTCAAAGCTATACCGAGCCAATGGAGGCTACGAATAACGCGGTCTCTCTTGAAAATTCGTTTTTGCTCCGGTCTGAAAAAAATATTTTGGAAGATCAACAGGTAAATTCTACAATAACAATCGTTTATTGTGTTTCCTAATAGTAGGCGATTTGGTAACAATTTAAATAGGCACGCATTGTTGCATTGATATTTATTTGCTTGTTCAGGGTGTTGATGATGGTGCACCTAAACGCTTCCCTCTGGTGCACCTAAACACTTCCCTCTGGTGCACCTAAACGTTTCCCTCTGGTGCACCTAAACGCTTCCCTCTGGTGCACCTAAACACTTCCCTCTGGTGCACCTAAACGCTTCCCTCTGGTGCACCTAAACGCCTCTCTCTGGTGCACCTAAACACTTCCCTCTGGTGCACCTAAACGCCTCCCTCTGGTGCACCTAAACGCTTCCCTCTGGTGCACCTAAACNACGTATGGTAGCGTGTAGTGCAGGGAGCTACGTATGGTAGCGTGTAGTGCTGGGAGCTACGTATGGTAGCGTGTAGTGCTGGGAGCTGCGTATGGTAGCGTGTAGTGCAGGGAGCTGCGTATGGTAGCGTGTAGTGCTGGGAGCTACGTATGGTAGCGTGTAGTGCAGGGAGCTTCACGTAATTTTTTTCGATACAATCATTCCTAATTACACTTGCTTGCGTTACAGGTTAAGCGATTCGCCTATGCGATTGCTCCCTTCACTAAGATGTGTTCAAATTTTTAGTATACAATTAAAACAAATTCAAGTTCTGGGTGTATGGACTGCTAAAAGTTAAGATCAATTATCTTGAAAAGAACTTGCTAGAATTTCTGGGTGAGAACAAAATGTCCATAAGTGGTCTTTCTGGAAACAAAATAAGTTTTGAAGCCAGTGAATACACGAAGAATTTGGTAAACACAACCGACGATAAAATTTTGTACGAAACGATAAAGGTTATTGAAGTGCAGGAAGTGCAACAGCTTAGAGAAGTGGAACGCAAGTTAGAAAGAAATGACACAATACACGAAGGTAGATCTGCTTCGAAAACTCCTACCACGATCGCTACACAACCACTCGACGACAGCAACTGGTTCACTGGAACAACCAGACCTGACCCTTCGGTTGTAGGCTGTCAATGCTCCGAGAAAACCGCTTATACCATCTCTGGTTGTGACGTGCCAACAGAAACTAGAGTTTCAACCAAACAACCTGAAGGGTGTGCAGGTGGAATGAAATCCTGCGCAGTGGCGATGGCTAGAACAGAACGTGGCAACGATCTAGCGGACAGTCACCGATGTATAGAAAACGGATCTTCAAATATCGGACACCAGGTGTCCTGTTCAGAAGCTGCAAGCGTCAGGCTTGATTCCTTAAGCGAACAAGTAATCAATGACGTAAACCCAAAAGAATGTGAGAACGATTTGTTTGATGAGATTATTTGCAAGGAAACGTTGGAGCCTTGCACAGACTGTGTCGCTGCTGAAGAAGGCCTTTCCCTTGACGAGTCTCCAAAACAGATTTCTAATGTTACTTCCGACCAATTTCTTAACTCTTTTTGTGATGAATCGAATATCACTGAAAAAAACGATAACTTGGATAATATTGATGCCATTGAAGAAGTGCAGAAAAACTCCATACCGGGTGCGAGCTTGTCTTCTTTAAATACGACGGGTAATGAGAAGTCTGTAAATGAAAACGGTGAATGCGAGTCGTTTGTTTCAGAGTGTTCGAAGTCTGTGTCCGAATTTGTTATGGAACCCTACGTGCCAAAACCTATCCTGCCTTCCAGCCTGTTACCCACGCCAGATACTGAAAAATCATCACAAGGCTTGCCCAAAACTTCAACATTACTGCCTACCCCGAGCACCACGACAAGTTGTAGTCATAAACAGGGACCAACTCTCCTCCCAACTCCTCGATACATTTCGTCATCCATCACAAATGACGTCCATCGGCCAAACCAGTTCAAAAGCGGCCATTTTTCCAGGTATTATGAAGACAAAGAACACGCCATGAATGATTTGAACTGCTGGACTAACAACACAACGACCAACAACAATAAAAACCGTTTTTATAGGAATCACAAAGAAAGAAATGATTACCTTCGATTATACGAAGGTAAAAATCAAAGATATTTTTCTCTTGGTAAGCGAATTCTTCCTCCGACTCGAGGGTTGTTCGCTCGAGGGAGCCAGAGAAGTTTTCCTCGATTGGTAGATGATTTTAATGCAAGAATTCCTCGTTACCCCCACGATGAAAATATCCTAGACTACCCTCAGCACACAGCAGCAAAAAGTCCCGAAGACGAAGCATTATTCAACAGTAACAAACACTATTCTGGCAACAATAGGTGCAACGAAATGTTTAATGATTTTCATGATGATGACTTCGGAGAGAGTTATCGGCGTGGCTCTAGAGGGCGGTACACACCCTGGCGAAGAGGTGGCTTCAGGGGACGAGCGTCCTACAGTTTTAGTAAATACAATTTGGAAAGTAAAATGAGTGGTGAGAACGGAACGAGCCTTCTCCGACATCCGTTACATAACGGAGATTTTGATCGCTCAAACTATGATTATAGCCCCAGAACAAAGATGAACAGTTATCGTGGATGGTCTTCTATCAGAAATTTGTATCACAACGACTTTAGACCGTCACGAATGCTGCCGAGAAGTGACGGCGGTAAGATGGGAGGCCGACGGGCGTCCGACGAGCCTTTGGCTGCATTCAGAAAAACTGCCATGAAAAAACCGTCGTATGATATGGATACGTCTAAGTCACCGTGCTTGGTAAGGGTTGAGTTAGAATTGACTCCATGTTGCCAGAATCACGTGTCCAATTCTAGCTCGAAGAAGTTTAACGAAAATAACAAGGGTGAAAACTCACCTATTGAACGGACCAACGAAACGACACAAGAAATCCTAACATTTGACGAGGAAAGTCCTAATTTCGGGGAAAGCCAATTTTGCGAGGAAGATCTTGACTGTGACGAAGGAGTAACAGCGACGTACTCGGACTGCGGCCCATACCTCTGTTGCGGCGCGGTTGACGATGCGTCCTCGTCGGCGCAAATTGTTCCAGATGCAGCCTTGTGTTTAACAACAACCACAACAACAACTCCTGTCGTGCATAACGAAGACGCGACTCCTTACGATACTCCAGCTTACGACGCTTCAGTAGAAGCCGTCTCCGTATCACCAGCATTCATCTTGTCCCCGGGCGATGCAGATGCCCAATACTCCGGCTGTCGGTCTGTTACATTCGCGTCTTCTGTGCCCGAGGAAGACGTTAAAGCCGGCAGCGGATGTGATGAAAAGTATGGCTATGATTCGAATGGTTTTTGCCAGGATTTTCCAGTGAACTCGAACAATGAATTTGATTATTTTTTGAGTTCGGCGGATTGCGAGCGGGACGAAGGTTACGTGGTGCATTTCCACATCAACCCTGGCACCACAGTCAACTTCACCACAAACGACGGCTCGCAGCAGCGCATCTCTGGTGAGTGCTTCTTATATTTATCAGTTATTATTTTCATTACTTATATCCTCATCACACGAGCCTGCATCAGTCCTGTTGCCGCACACACGCCTTCATCACACGGCTAATGAGGCCTGCATCAGTCCTGTTGCCGCACACACGCCTTCATCACACGGCTAATGGGGCCTGCATCAGTCCTGTTGCCGCACACACGCCTTCATCACACAGCTAATGGGGCCTGCATCAGTCCTGTTGCCGCACACACGCCTTCATCACACGGCTAATGGGGCCTGCATCAGTCCTGTTGCCGCACACACGCCTTCATCACATGGCTAATGGGGCCTGCATCAGCCCTGTCTCTTATACACATCTAGATGTGTATAAGAGACAGCTCGTGGNTTATTCCTCTCATGGTAACGCGTAATTCCTCACATGGTAACGCGTTATTCTTCTCATGGTAACGCGTTATTCCTTGCATAGTAACGCGTTATTCCTCTCATGGTAACGCGTAATTCCTCACATGGTAGCGCATCATTCCTCTCATGGTAACGCGTTATTCCTCACATGGTAACGCGTTATTCCTCTCATGGTAACGCGTTATTCCTCACATGGTAACGCGTTATTCCTTTCATAGTAACGCGTTATTCCTCTCATGGTAACGCATTATTCCTTTCATAGTAACGCGTTCTTCCTCTCATGGTAACGCATTATTCCTCTCGTGGTAACGCATTATTCCTCTCGTGGTAACGCGTGATTCCACTCTTGGTAACGCGTTTGTCATCACCAGAAGTATAAGGGCTTGAACACCGCTCTATAGGTTTGCAGTGAGCCATGCCACCACTATTTTTTAAAATGACGTTTAAAGGTCCAAGAATAAACTCATCGCGCAAATAGAAGTAATAGTGCAAGTAATAATACAAGTAATAATGCAAGTATTGTGCACTGTACTACTGTGCTAGTAGTACCATTCAAGTAGCCCTCTCTCAGTTATTGCAGGATTCCTCGATGATTTGTTCTCTTCCATCCAAGCCACGTTATTCTCTGAAGTCACATGCAATAATGTTTGTTATCGTCAGCGGTCATTCGACATTGTTACTACAATAGACGTTACAGCAGGCAATTGCTGCATCTTACACGTTACTGTTACTACAATAGACGTTACAGAAGGCAATTGCTGCATCTTACACGTTACTGTTACTACAATAGACGTTACAGAAGGCAATTGCTGCATCTTACACGTTACTGTTACTACAATAGACGTTACAGAAGGCAATTGCTGCATCTTACACGTTTCTAAGGCAATACGTGGCATCGTTTCCGGGTGTTGGTGACGTGACGTCGTCGCTACACACGGGGGTGCGCGGCTGCGAGCAGCGGCTGCCAGTGGCTCTCTAGACTGTGCTGAGTGAGGTTGTGGACCTTCTGTGCTTCACTCATCATGTTTCATCCGCTCGTACTATCTACAACTTGAAATGCTTGTTTTTTGAAACTTCACTCTGCTATACATAAGCTTACTCAAGTTTTTACGTGTGTTTACCATTTTTCAAAGTGTTTACCAGTGCGTAGTGAAAGGAATGTTCTGGGAGTATCTTTTGCTGGCTGAGCCTCGCAGGCGCTTAGATTTCTCCTGCACAGCCTAGTTCTTGTTGGCAAGACTCGGTCTTAGTATTCACAAGTCTTTTATATTTACCTTCTTCAGATCGCTTTAGAGCTTAAAGTGTGCTTATGTAACTTGGTTAGGCTTACATGTGTAATATCTGTGTTCGGAACCACTTTGTGTGGTGGCGTTGCGTAGACAACAAGTTTGCGGTTACTAACCTGCTGACTAGAAAGACCAAGTGCCATCGCCTGAGGGTGGCTCAGAGCAACTGGCCTCTGAGCTGCCGCTACATCACAGCACTTACACGTGAAGCTTGGTGAGCTATGCTTACCGCAACCATGGTTGCTGTGCCCGGCCCCACATGTTATGCGGAGATGTTACAGCAACACCACCACTCCCTGCCTCACCAACAACTACAGCCACAAGCTGCTCAGCTTCAAACGACTAACATAGCTGCGGTGCCACAGCACATGTTGCCACAACACATGCTGGCCCAGCCTGTGCAGGACAGTGACGTGGCCTGTGAGACACCCACTGTAGTGCCCTCGTCTCTAGAGGAAGACATCACAGCGATGCCCGAGACTTGTGATGCGAATGCCGGCAACCAAGACGGAGTAGAAGCGGTGCACCAGCAGCAACACATGCAACCGACACATATTCCTCCTCAACTCATCCACCACCAAGGCGCTCAAATGCCCACCCCCTTGAGTGCAACCATGCAACTTAACCATGCCACCATGCCTATGAACCACTCAACCATCTGCAGCACCACACTCACCAACAGTACAAGCATCCCTGTCGTCACCTCCACCATTGACATGGCAGCTACCACTCCCTACCACCAACCTACCCTGCCGCCGTACTGTCCTGATTATTATGGTCGTGATTACTACCACCCACAACCACCAGACTATCACCCACAACCAGCAGACTACCACCCACAACCATCTGACTACCACCCACAACCAGCAGACTACCACCAGGCTCCACCACCACCGGAATACCACCAACCTCCTCCAGGGGAGTACTGCGGTGCGGCGCAACATATGTGCAGCGGCCTGCATGTTCCCACAGGTGAGGACTGTTGCGCTCACGCCTGTCAACTCGGGGGGCGGGTGCTACTTATCAACTGGGGGGTGCTCCCTGTCAACTGTGGGAGGGGGGAGGGGCGGGGGCTCTTTTTCAACTGGGGGGTGCTCCCTGTCAACTTTGGAGGGCGGGTGTTCCCTGTCAGCGGGAGATATCCTTCCATGTCACGGTTATTCTGTTTTGTTAACGTCTGCTGTCATCATTTTCACTTATCGCTATCCCGCCATCTGCTCACCGCCATCCCGCCACCTCTCACCGCCATCCCGCCTCCTGCTCGCTGCTCGTAGCGGCCATCACCGTTTCTCCCTCGCAATATTCTGCTGCATCACGACGCGGTTTGCGGGCCGCTGATGGCAGGTGGCAAGTGCTGTGGCAGGTGGTGTGGCAGGTGGTGTGGCAGGTGGCAAGTGCTGTGGCAGGTGGCAGGTGCTGTGGCAGGTGGTGGTAATGGTTGCATATTCTGTTGGCTGCAGGTTCTGATGGCAAAAGATTCTGTCGGTTGCAGGTTCTGATAGGGACAGGTTTTGCCGGCTGCAGGTTCTGATAGGGACCAGTTCTGTCAGCTGCAGGTACTGATAGGTATCAGTTCTGTCAGCTGCAGGTCCTGACAGGGACCAGTTCTGTCGGCTGCAGGTTCTGACAGGCACCAGTTCTGTCAGCTGCAGGTACTGATAGGTATCAGTTCTGTCAGCTGCAGGTCCTTACAGGGACCAGTTCTGTCAGCTGCAGGTCCTGACAGGGACCAGTTCTGTCAGCTGCAGGTCCTGACAGGGACCAGTTCTGTCAGCTGCAGGTACTGATAGGTATCAGTTCTGTCAGCTGCAGGTCCTGACAGGGACCAGTTCTGTCGGCTGCAGGTTCTGACAGGCACCAGTTCTGTCAGCTGCAGGTACTGATAGGTATCAGTTCTGTCAGCTGCAGGTCCTTACAGGGACCAGTTCTGTCAGCTGCAGGTCCTGACAGGGACCAGTTCTGTCAGCTGCAGGTCCTGACAGGGACCAGTTCTGTCAGCTGCAGGTCCTGACAGGGACCAGTTCTGTCAGCTGCAGGTTCTGGCCCTGCAGATGCAGCGGAAGTGGGAGGCAGCTGATGGCCGCTCATGATGGTCGTTTGTGCTGCCGTTATTGTTGTTGTTGCTCATCTTGTTGTTGACATTATTTATCTTATTAATGGTATTGAGGATGTCGATTGTGAAGCTCGTGCTTGGTTATAATTAAAAGAGTTTGTTTTTGCACGATTGCTGTCGACGGCGTCATAACTAAACCATGAAAGTGTGTAGACAACCCGCCAAAGATGGCGGCGCAACTGTACACGCTTTTAACACGCATCTCTCGACACACACACGCGACCTCGAACACTCACACGCAACCCCCGACACGCACACGCGACCTCGAACACTCACACGCAACTCCCGACACGCATATACGCCACTCCATAATACGCCATTACACTGCGCGTCACTGCTCGACACGTAACTGCTTGTCAGAACACAGCACGTCACTGCTCGTCAATACTACACGTCACTAACCTTCATTGCTAGAACGTTACTACTCAACCCATTACTACTCAGCACGTTACTACTCAACCCATTACAACTCAGCACGTCACTTAGACACGTTACTACTCAGCACGTCACTTAGACACGTTACTACTCAGCACGTCACTTAGACACGTTACTACTAAGCACGTCACTTAGATACGTTACTAGGTACTCAGCACGTCACTCAGAGACGTTACTACTCAGCACGCCACTTAGCTACGTTACTACTCAGCACGTCACTCAGAGACGTTACTACTCAGCACGCCACTTAGCTACGTTACTACTCAGCACGTAACTCAGATACGTTACTACTCAGCACGCCACTTAGCTACGTTACTACTCAGCACGTAACTCAGATACGTTACTACTCCTGTCTCTTATACACATCTAGATGTGTATAAGAGACAGGTGCTGGGAGCTACGTATGGTAGCGTGTAGTGCAGGGAGCTGCGTATGGTAGCGTGTAGTGCAGGGAGCTACGTATGGTAGCGTGTAGTGC